GAAAGGCCGTTTGGTCCCAGTGTGGGACTCCTCAGTATTGTGTATCTACAATCCTATACGCGGGATTCGAACTCAGGACGTTCGGTCGCGAGAACGCTTAACATATAGACCATTGAGCCGGCATCTAATGGTGTTAATTAGGTAACATATTGAATAATTGTAGTGATAACTGTTGATCAATTGAAATAAATCGAGTTGACTGCTCCTCTAGACAATAGTTGACGAACTTTGAAAGCATAGGGATTTAGAGACTCAGAATGTAAGGAGGAGACAGAGTAATTGTATCTGCAATAATGCGAACGAATTTGAGCCATACACCCTAATCACCAACCATCGGTTACGAAAATCTCGTAGACCCAAATCAAGTTGTCCACATCTGTTAACAATATGGAGCAATTCAATTGTCACTGACTTTCATAGACTCACGCCACGTCTTATTATGGTGATGCATTACCCTCTTCCATACTACTATTATCACAGACAGGCGGTAGTTGGGCCTACGCAACAGATTTTCGAACTAATTCTGTTGATTAGAATTCGCCACCCAAGCGTCTGAACAATAAGCGTATCTTTTATTTACCATACGGAGGTCCTGGCTACATTCTAAGTGACACAAGATGGCGAAAGAAAACCTAAATTTCGAGTACGTTTAGAGACTTCGTCAGTTAGCAATTCACGAGGACTAATAAGACTTTCAAAACAATTGCTCAACTCCCTAATTTCTCAAAATTAATTTATGTGTTGACAACCAGTCAGTTTTACTTGAATTTAAATAATTTTATGGATAATACCAGTCGGTGATGCAGATGAATTGCAGATTGAACTAATTACAATGAGTCAGTTTACCGTATCCATGTATTCATAATTGCGTAGTAACTAGAACCAAGTATGTTTGAAATAAACGATTCGCATAGTGGGAACTGTTATTGGCTTCCTGCAATCAAGTGGACGAGCTAAGCAAACAGTGCATCAACAAAGACGCTAGGCTGCTCATACTGGTCGAACGTCATTGGTTTAGCACAGTACTAAGATTGTATAAGTCGTATTCCGATTCGAGAATAAATCATGTCTTAAAGTCACAAAAAAATCTCATGTTTTAATAGTTGCGATTATGAGTCAATCGAAGCAAGACCACTATGGAAAACCTGGAAGCACTGGATGGCCGTCTCGTCATATTGTGGGACTCCTCAACAGTGCGTATACACGATCCTGCCTTGTGGGATTTCAACTCAGGACCGATCAGTCTCGCGCGCGAGCAATTAACAACTAGACCACTGAGCCGGCATCTAATGGTATTAATGTCTAACTCCAAACAATCCACGAAACTGAGCCACCGTCCACCACTCTTCGCAATGAGTTAGTATCTCACAACAGACCTGGTTGAACTCCACTGCTTCTCACCAGAACTCCAGGATATACCTGTTGAAGTCAGTCATTAGTGAGCGTGTGTTGATTAGTATCAGAATGGGTTTTGTGGAGATTGTCTACGGTGATCATGCTTCAATTGACTCATGATCTCATGATGTAAAAAGAAAACTTATGCTCAATAAATTATGGACCACTTTTACATATAACGTAACTGTTAACTTCAAGTGGATTTTAATGTTAAAAAATGTATAACAATGAACATAACTAACATTTATACCATCTACTTATCTTATCTAATAAGTGTGATTACCTAACTATACTGTGTATTTATTCCCGTTAGAATTAACATTTCAATCCATAATAGTCTTACATTTAAGACATGGAAATGAAAGCATCTGTTTTTTTTTCTTAAACTTTATATAGCCTACAGAAATCTATGAAATATGTAAAGATATTTAATAATCTTTCTTCTCATAACTATATATATATATATATGTATATTATATATATATATATATGTATATTCTAACATATCATTCGTCCATTGAATGATTCTATTAACTTAATCTACCTAACAGTTAATTTTTTTCTTATTTCAGTGACTACACGTCAATTGTAGACATTGTTTGAGTCAATTATCTCTCATTGTAACTATCTACTTGTTTACTTGTTTTTTTTCTTTTTTTTATAAATAAGGATTATTAAAATGAATGTTCATTAATTTTTTCTTGTTTGAAAAAAGGAAAATAAACAAAATTAAATTTGAAAACGAAATAAAAACATAATACAAAATTGTATCTAAGAGAACTTTTGGGGTAGGACTCTAATTTATGGACGAGCCAATCAGAAGCGTTTAAGGAATTTCAAGGTCACGGCGGTAAGTTCAGTGCAAGATGCTCACATTCGATCGTTTTACGGCAGATTTTAGAGAATAGGTGATCGTTGAGAGACTACAGCAGATGGCACTGTTAAGAAGTTCCTGTGTCTGCGACTGCGGCAATTAAATGACCGCAGCACGATGTGCAGACTGCCACGATGACATTGTATATCGTTGTACTATATGTTGGAGAAAAAAATCTGCTCGAACTGGCACTTTTTTGCCCGGTCACGGCTAAGGCTAAGACAAACCGTGATAACCGTTGCAAATTGGATCATAAAGTCTCGAGTAACATTAGCTGCGGCTATACCGATGATTGGAAAGTGTATAGATGCCTCTCCAGACTTGGTTTTGTGCATCATGTTGTGGTGCACAAACGTCATTATGTTGATCCAACGACGGGGGTCCATACAAACAACATTGAGGGCGTGTGGTCTAGGCTGAAGTATTTTTAAAGACCCTACCACGGCTCCAGAGGACGATTATTATGGAGTCATATGAACGAGTTCTTATATTGCATGCACTATGATCTCAAAACTTCTGAACCTTTATCAAACCTCAACAAGTTCTTAAATCATTTAAAAGAAGAATATTCATTGTAATTCATTACTTTTTTATAATATATTTTTACTTTATACTAACTCTTTTCTGATTGGCTAATGCTCTCAAGGTCACTTAAAAATTCGTTCAAAGGTCGTCCATAAAGTAGAGTTTCACCACTTTTGGTTTGTTGTTGATTTTTTTTTTAAAAAACACCAACAACAATGTCAGTTAGATTTGTGAATAGAAATTTTAAAAAAAACTTAGATCATGATGTGAATATTAGTCTAAAACTATTAGTCCAATTTGATAAATTACGATAATGCAATGAATAAATGAAGTTTATTAGAATTATGTGGAGATATATTAGTGTATTACATTTCCAACAATCTGATCACACACATAAACTTATTAAGATATTTTTATATAAAAATTAAAAGGTCAACTAGACAGGTTAAACATAAGTCATAACAAGGAAAAATAATAATATTAAAGTAATTTCAATAGTTGAGATCATGAGCCAATTAAAGCAAGACCACCATGGAAAACCTGGAAGCACTGAACGGCTGTTTCGTCCCATTGTGGGACTCCTCAGCAGTGTACATCCATGATCGCGCCTCGCAGGGTTCGAACCCACGACCTATCAATCTCGCGTCAGGCACTTAACCAACTAGACCACTGAGCCGGCCGGTGTCCAACGGTGTTAATGTTTTGCTTCAACTAATCCACGAAATTGAGCCACCGTACACCATTGTCTTCAGTGAGTTACTATCTCACAACTGACCCTGGTGCGAAACCAGTAGGTCCTGGGTTAAGATCTTGCGAGGCGAGGTCGTGGATACGCACTGTTGAGGAGTCCCACAATAGGACGAAACGGCCGTTCAGTGCTTCCAGGTTTTCCATGGTGGTCTAACTTCAATTGACTCATGATCTCAACTGTTGAAATTATTACAATCTTCACAAAACCCCTTTTGATAATATTAAAGTTCTTAAAAACAAATGTGATTACCACTCTTGATAATAAATCAGTATTACCATGGTAGGCTAAGTGTAATGATAAATTGTTTTTTGAACACATAAAAGGGGTTTCAATTTCCGTATAACCAAGGCTTCAATAAACCTTAGTATACGTCCATGAAGGCTTTTGTATAACACTACAAATGCTGTGACTTGATGTCAACCTTATGACCAGTCTCAATCAAATGTTTCTCAATCGAGGATGATATCTATCTATCCTGTGATCTTATTTGATCATTGGAATCCATTTGTTTCTGCAACCATTTTTTATGTGTTCATCCACCCTTAATTGCAAATCATGATTGCTTCTCCCTATGTACGTGTTTCAGCACATACGTTTAACCTATCTAGTTTAATTTTCATATAAAAATGTCTTAACTAATATACGTGTGATCAGATTGTTCGAAATGTATTGCGCAAATATATCACATAATTTTGATAAACTTCTTCTTCTCATTGCATATCAGAAGTGAATATTATTATTAGAATGGAAACATAAATCCAAAGTAAAGTATAAATTATATCCTTCAATAGATTAACTAGTTGGCAACTAAATTCATTTCATTCATAGCAAAATTAAGAAAATAATCATTCAGATATATATACATATTAACTGACTAAAATTGATTATAATTCACTTAAGTCTGTTAGTAACGGAATAATTCATATTCTTTCTAATAATGTTTTATTAGGATTAATGTTTTAAATCTAAATTCAGTCTCCTTTTTTATAATTTGGATAGGAAAATTCATTCTTCTTTTTTTTCTAAGTATGGTGATTTTGTTCTTCAACAAGAAAGAAATATCATAAATAATAATAATAATAATAATAGTAATAATAATGATAATAGGAGTAAGTAAACTAATAAGATAAAGTCAAATCCTATTCTGTTTTAATATTACTACTACTACTACTACTGATATTGATACTACTAATAATACTATTACTGAATTGTTTCTATGCCTATATCACAAAGACAAATTTATTACTTTAAAACAACTAAACCAATTCCCATTTATTATTTACTTTGATAATATTTAAGTTTCGCTTTTTTATAAAATGCATTTATTCAAGACAGGAAATCAGTCAGTTCATGTCCCAATTTCTCTGATATTGTAGATACTGATTATAAATACTTTCTTTTTTCTTTTTTTTTAAAAAAATAAATGCTGTAATAAAATAATTTGTTGGTACTTACTTTATTATTGCTTCCTTGGGCTGTTTGAATAGCAACTGATGAAGGAGATATGGATGGAGGTAACTGAAAATTTAATTGAAAAAATCTGGCAGTTGTTATAAATCAATATAAGTAGTTCAGAATAAATAGCTAATATTGATTAACTAGGAAAATTTAGAAAGGGATATAACTGTGAACAGTTACTTCTATCATTTTGTCGTAGAATCAACGGTACTAAGTAGAACAGATGTTATTGAGTTAGTAATGCAAACTATTTGGGATTGCGTCACACGGAATCAAATTCAGTTCCTTTTGTTTCAAATGCCTACCGTGTTATTCAACTAGCAAATGAATTCAGAAAATCTTCCGATTGTGTATGATTCTTTATTTCATTTGCGATAGAATAGATTATCTCATGAGAAATGGGAAGAAATGGCTTTCTTAGATTCTAATGTTAGCTATGGTACATTTACTCAATAAAGCTTGTAACATAATAGCTCAATGAAGCAGTTTGTAAGTGAAGTATAAATGTCATGGAACTAGCAACAATCGGATAATTCATATCATTGAAAACTAAATCAAGATATTTTTTCATGTTTGTAATATTTGATCACTGAGTAATACGCACTGTCAAATTTTCTAGTCTTTAGTCCGGATCAAACTTCAATCATCAGGTTTTAATGTCGCTTCCAACCTAAAAAAAAATCAACATAACGGTACGCTTTAAGGTTAAATGGTTGAAGTAAATCCGTGAAAATCTCTAAGCATGATTTTTATGACATGTTCAAACAAGACCTAGAAAAACTCCACAAAGAACTGAAGCTACCTAACTCGTTCAAACTATGTCAGCGTTATAACCACAGAGGTTGACGACTATTCTTCTGTTGTGCAGAAATGAGTTTTGTACTAATTAGATACATTGTAACTGAATATATGTTTATCCACGAGAAAATGTTAGAAATGAAATGTAATTGAAAATAACCTATTGGATATTAAGCTAATCAGTTGAAGAAACTATTATACTTATAACTATATTGATAAATGAAACGAAAAAAGAGGAACATCACTCCGTGATGAATTCAAATCAATCTAACTTATTCATATAAGAGTATATCATAATTTTTCTTTGACCTTATTCTGGAATCCATGTCCTATTGGATTATGCAGGATTTGAAGAACAATAGGAAATGTTTTAAGTCTTATTGAATGCCCTAATAAAACTCATTTAGGTCATTTGAGTATAAATTCTAGGTTTTTATAAAGTGTTACCCTTATCCTCACTCTGAATGATCTTACATAAGAATCAGCAGGTTTTCACTGACCTAATGCTTATCTATTTCATTTACTTATTAATTTTTAATAATGATTACTTCTAAACAAAAAATGAATAAACAAAGATGGATACTGACTATTAGTGAAATTCACGACGCGCGTTTCGTTCTATGTAGAACTCGTCAGCTGGATAAACCTGCATCTCAGAGTTGATGTTCAATCCAGGAATTGAACCCAGTACCGTGCGCTTCAAACTTCATCACGTTATCCACTTAGTTACTGAGTCCTGATATTCACTTTCTTGTGAAACGTAGTGAAGTTTAAAATCACTTGGTTTTGTTTGATTGAATCTTACAATTGATTTTATGATTAAAGTTGATTACTCTCTAATAAGCATATAATCATTCTTGTCACATTGCTTCGATATTGTCTTAAGTCACAAGTATTGTAAGCAAAGATAGACAGTAGTTAGTAGTGGAATCCAGGATGTGTGCACATATGCTAATACAAGACTGATCAATTGTAGTACTAAACATCAAAGAGGAAGATTCAACTAAACCACACCAAGTGAAACAAAATGAATAACCCGAATATATTTTATTTGGAAAAATTTTGTTTTAATCAAACGAAATATGTTTCCTTCATTAAATAAGTCTAATTTTGAGATGATCAGAATAACATAGTTCTATTATAAACTAGCTATTAACAAACTTCAAGAAGTATTTCTTGGAGTTCTATTTAGAATTTAAGACCAGTGGAGTTCAACTGGGTCTGTTATAAGACAATAACTCACTGAAGACAATGATGAATATGTCGCTCGGTTTCATGGATTACTTGAAGTTAGACATTAAAACCTTCGGATACCGGCCGTCTCAGTGGCCTAGTGTTTAAGTGCTCACACGCGAGACTGATATGTCCTGAGTTCGAATCTCTTGAGGTGGGATCGTGGATGCCCACTGTTGAGAAATCCTACAGTAAGATGAAATGGCCATCCACTGCTTCCACTATTTTCCATAATGATCTAACTTCAATTGACTTATGATCTCAACTATTAAAAAAACAAAACAATAATATTCATTGAATAATTAAAACAATAAATAAATCCACTTACAAATATACGAAATGGTATAGTATGTTGATTACATTTATTAATTAATTTTAATTGAAATGGTGATAAATCATTGATTGTTAAAGTTTGACTAAATATTCCATAGGAATCATCACTTAATACAATCGATGAAATATCTTCAATTGATTCAATTTTCTTTTTTATTTTTCTTTTAAATTTATTTTTCCATGTTTTTTTAGTTTGATTTTTTATATTATTATAAATAGGTAATTGTTTATCAATAATTAATGAATGATTTGGCCATAAACATTTTGTATAAATTAATAATTCTTTTTGAAATGTTAATCCTAATACATCTAAATCATCACGACCAAAACGATATGAACATGTAAAGATTAAAAAAACATATTCGGTATTCTTTATATCTTGTGATATTAATAGAACTCCATCTGTATAATGAAATTTAAAACAAAAAAGAAAAGAAAAGAAAAAAGAAAAATGCATTTGGTAACAATGATAACAGTTTGTAATAAGTTTTGTTTTAGTGATTTGGGATCTGATTCTAAGTAAGATCGTTTCTGATTGCTATTGAGATATATCTATTGTCAATCCTTGTATATAATTATCGATTTAAATAATGGCGTTAGTCAATAATAGAATTAAATAAGTCAAATAATACGAGGATGAATTTCGAATCTGTATATTTTATACAATCTTTGATCCAGACAAAATATTGGTAAAGTGAAAAGAAGAGAGTAAAGTGAAATAACGTGCGATGGAGAAGGTATGTGAGTCAACTTCATTGAGTACTAGCGTTAACCAATATTTATAGTCACACAAAAATAAGTTACAGACATGTGATGAATAATGGGATAAGAAGAGCATACATATATATGCGCTCATATAAAAACGGTCAAGAATGATAAGTGAATACTTAACAAAGTCAAAATGTGACTCAATTAGAATGATTGAATTAGACTGTTCGAAAGCTAGAATAAGGTATATGGACTTAACGCAATAACCGAAACTACAAGTTAATTCAATATCATTAATAAATTATTCTAACACAGTTAATTAATGTTATAATTTGTCGTTTGAATGCTTATTATCTTGGCTCTTTTAATGCTACTTTTTGTATCTGGTCGTCGCTGATTGTTATGTCGGAAATGCTTATCATTTATACTCGGAACAAAGGACCCCTGCAATTCCCACGATGCGAAAGTAAGAACACAAAGACTGGTATAAGTGATGATTTATTAACTCCAAGACACTATGATGACGACGACAACGACTCAAGTTGAAAATACACTCACCTATATATTGATTGCACACCCATTATGATTGATAATTAGTATGAAATCACATATATGAAGCATACTTAGAGTTATAACAAATCACAGACCGAGCATGGTTCATGTCAATCGGATACAAGAATATCGTATATTAAACAGAATAAAATATCATAAGAGAAAAGAAAACAAATACCACATTGAATAATCATTACACTGAATCGAACGGAAGTAAACTTGAACAATAACTCATAATGAGTAAACTCAATCGAAAATTGACTTTTCTTTCCATCATATCAATCAAAACAAATAACAAAAATCTTTTGTTAAAAATTAAATTATCAGTTTAGTATGTACACATACATGGATACTGGTTTCTTTGTTGAAGCATGCTGACTTGTATGAAACTTTATTCAAAGACTTTCTTAAACAAAGCAAGAACAACGATTGGAGTCGAATAATATGTTATTCATTATATTTCGTTAGATTCTTATCAGCTCCTTACAACCTAAATGATTTGAAAATCATTGTTTATCTATTAATCAAACTATATTGATCATTCTAGAGATTCTTTCAAATGAACAGTTGAACAAATAATCGAATGTATATTGCTAAGGAATCAAATAAACATTCTGGTTTCTATGTATTATTGATTTTTGTTTAGAAAACCGATTTATAAAAAGAAAAAAGAAAAGTTCCTTGAAAGTGAATTTTAGAAAATGTTTCCAGAATCATATCTTATTATAATCAGAGAAAGGGGTTTTGTGGATAATATAGAAATTATTTAGTAGTTGAATTCATTAGTCAATTGAAGATAGACCATTGTAGAAAGTTTGGAAGCACTAAATGGTTGCTTTGTCTTAGTATGAAACTTTTTAGTAGTGTACATTTACGATCCTGTCTCGTGAGATACGAGCCCAGGACCTAACAGTCTTACACGCGTACCTGTAGATTACTGAGTTGGTCGGTATCTAGTGGTGTTAATGTCTAACTTCAACCAATCCACGAAGTTGCACCACTAGAGATCCAAATGATAAATTTATTAAAGAATAAACTTTTCATTGAAATATCAAATTATACTAATATGAAAATAAAATGGAGACTTTTTTTCTCTCAGATATTACATATAATTAATTAATGTGTAATACATGTTATATAACAGATGTATTACAGTCTAGTACACTATAATGTATTGCATAGAAATAATCATGATTATTTAGCCAATCAACAGCACTCATACACATAGTTCCGTTTATTACCTTAAAGAGAACAAGAACAAAGATTGATGCAGAATAATATGTTATTCATTTTATTTCGTTAGGTTCTCATCAGCCCCTTTACAACCTAAATTATTTGAAAATTAACATTAGTACAGATATTGACATATTTATACATACGACAGTGATTAAAAATGAATATATATATGATAATCTTGAGAAGATTCCGATAGAGTTCAATAAGGTCATAAAAATTGCTTGTTTCGGAGAAAATAAATGAAGTTTGAGAGGTAAAGTTTCAGAACATTTAACTAGTGATTAGAACGCATGGAGTTAACAAATATTAGGTGATTGTGTAATTAAGATGGTGGAGAAGATTTGTAGCTCAGGTGGATGATTTTGGTGGAGTTTTGTTCTCTGAGCTGGATGGTTTGGTCGTGGAGCTTTCATCGTTCTTCTGAACGACATCATCAGCACAAACTTCAGATAGAAGTGAAGTGTTCGAACAAGAACCAATCAACATCGAGGTGCACAGAACAAGCTGTGAAACACATATGGAGAAATTCGAACACTTCACTTCTATCTGAAGTTTGTGCTGATGATGTCGTTCAGAAGAACGATGAAAGCTCCACGACCAAACCATCCAGCTCAGAGAATAAAACTCCACCAAAATTGTGTAATTAACTATAATAATAAAGAAAGATATGAATTGAAATCAATCAGTTATGAATTAAATAAAAAAGACAATAATGTAATTTAAACTTCAGAAAGAGTTGAAATAGTGAATGACGTAATTAATAAAAAGCGGGGTTTAATGTTACAAAGGCAAACAAAAATTTATCACTTTTTTTTGTATACATAGATCTGGTTTTAGACGTTTAATTGTGATCGTTTCGGCAAATTTCAAAAGGTTGGAATTAGATTGTTTGTTAATCACCTTGAAGGACTTCAGTGTATCGACTTTATATCCTGCATCAATGAGATGTTTTGCGATGACATTACTGAATGCCATAAATCCATTTCATCTTAGACTTTTCAAAGTATGTTCTTTGAATCGAACACAAACTCTCTGACAATTGTCATTAACAATACAATTGTGCCTCAAATTCGATTCATATACGCTAATGATTATTGAACATTCCAACTATTAGAATTTCATTAGCAATAAGGGTCATATAATCTGTTCAGTTTTGTTTAGACACAGATTAATTTTCATTTAGTCACAATGTATAAACTTTTTAAATGAAACTTAAATGTTGGATATTTTTGAGTTTGGTTATTTAAACTCAAATACATAGAAGTGTATATATTTTGAATTACAGTACATCAATCAAGGGTACAATTGTTACAGAACATTCTAAATCACTAAATTTTCTTAGAATTGCAATAGAATTTGACTTTCTTAATGAGGTGCTAACTGCTCATGTCTCAAATTTCGAATAAAATCGTTGATCACCTCTAGTCAGTTCAAAAAGGAATAAACTATACACAAAGACAGTTATAACAGATATGAAAGATCATATTTAGTGATTAATATTACTGATTTATTATTGATTATTATTACTGATTATTATTGATGAAATCTAAATGAATGGTAGTAAAAGAAACAACTCATATGTTTATGCATCATGTAGTTAACTTCTTAAATTCTTCCGAAACTTAGATTGTAAGTTTAAACTCCACTTTATCAAACTAAAAAATCTAAGGCCAACACAAAATTTGTTTATTCGAATGCCGAGCCCATTTTTCTTTAAATTATTACATGCTACCCATATTTTATTTCATTTTTTTGTTTGTTTCATAGAAACATTCATTCATTTCTAAAGGTTACCGGATCATTTTAAGAAAATATAGTGATTTAGAATGAACAAACTTAATAATTGAATTATGTTCTTCTAAAGGGAAATAAACGGTTAAACATTATATCATTTAAAGTTAATACATAAATTAGATCAGAGCAAAACATCATATTGTATTTTACATCATGACAGTATATTACAGAATCTTTTTCAGTAATACCTTTGATCATTATTTCTCTGCAGGAATATTTTACATCAAAAATAGTAATGTCTGACTAAATGGGAAATCAATTTAATAATAATAATAATAATAACAGTAATAATAGTAATAATAATAAAAGAAGCATTGCAGTACAAAGTTGTAATTAGTTTAACAAAACAATAATTTGGCTTTCAATGGTTTCAATTGATTCACTTTTTAAGACCTTACTATAACTTAATAAAAAAGTTACAATTACAACATACCGAAAGGATACTGCTCGGGTGCCCAAACCGAAGCAGATGGTTTTTTAAGGAGGCCACTCCCGAAGCCTTCAACCTGAAAGCCTGATCAACAAGGCAGTGGAGCAACATAAGGAGATGCAGTCCCATGGTAGCCGGTGACCAACGATTGGTTCATACGCCATTTATTTCCTCAGGATACTTGGGCCCGTATGCACCATTGGTTTGGAATCAGGGTTTTCCAACTCCTCTAGATGGACTCTCCAAGTCCACCAACCCGGTTAAAGCTTCGGATATTCACTTTTCGTCCTCGCAATTTCTCAAAAAACACCCCCACCACGAGAAGGCAGTGAGTAGGACTTCCCTGGCAGAGGCTATATACGCGTCGCCATGTGAGAGCATTACGAGAGGGAGAGTGGACTCTCCCAGCTCTCGGCCGTACCAGGACATATAGGGACAGATTAGAGTGTAGTTTTTGATCTATAATTTAAATTACTTATGAAATATAAAACTCAAGGTTTTATAAGTAGAGATAGATGGTGGCTAGCACTGAAGTCAAGAATACATATTTCATCCCATTTGACACTCATCAGCTAGATGATTCTGCATCCTAAATTTTTAATATTCACTTCGGGACTCGAATTCAGCGTCGTTTGCTTCAATCTCCATTGAGTTATCCACTAAGTGGGTGAAATAAGCGTCC